GCCTTTGTGTGCCCGTCCCCACCTAGAGAATCAGGAAAGTGGAAGTGGAGAGAGGGGTCCTTTGGGATCTCTCGGGAAGCTACAGAAAGTCTACTCCTTCCTACCTAACCTTGCTGGGCACAGACTAGAAGGGAAGTGGGCCTGTGGGGAGGGAGCAGGATTCTGAGAGGGGTTGGGGGAGGGGGGCTGTATCTGGGTTCTGGTTTGGGTCTGAGAGACGGTCAGGCCTGAGCTGCAGCAGGAAACTGCCAGGCCTGGGTGGTGACATGGGCCCTGAGGCAGGTGGGAACCGGCCACCCACAGTCCATTAATGTGTCCTCACCCCATATATCTGCATTTCCTCTTGAGAAAGCCTCTCCTGGTTCCCAGCAGGTTCAAATTCCTTCCACTGGCTCCCCCCCCCCCCCGCCCCCGCCTCGGCTCCCTCATCTGTCTTCTAGTCTATGCTTCCACGGGATTTGGAGGCAGAAGACCTATGTTTGACTGTGACCTTGGACAAGTCACTTCTGGCCTCAGTTTCCTCATCTTTAAATGAGGTGGTTAGAACAGATGTTCTCTGAAGTCCCTTCCAAATCTAGACCTTAAGTTCCACCGTTCTGGTCCAGTCACCTCTAGGTCCCTTAGTGCTGCCCCCCCCCCCCCCCATCAACAGCGCCTTCATCTTTTGTTCCTGATATAGCCTCTGACCAAGCCACTCTCTTTGCTTCAGAAGTTACCTCCCAAACCATCCCCGCTACACACACGTACACACATATACACACACACCCAGGAAACCCTCTCAGGTTAACTTAAGGAGCGGGCAGGTGCTAACGGCTCCTTCATGGCAGCTTCGTTCCTCCCAACCCCCTAATGGCCCGACTCTTCCCAGAGCTCTACTCCCAGGGATCACCAGGAGCTACCAGCTCCTTCCCACTTTACAGAAACTGGGCTGTTACTAAAAGAGAGACCTGAGCCCAAGCTATTCTGGGACCTCCAGGAGATTTCACAAGCTCCAAAAAGCCATCCCCGTGTGCCTCCATCTTACTTCCCAGATCTCCCTAAACTCTGTTGCTGCAACTGAGTTTTCCGTACCGTGTTCTATTTTTTTTTTAAGGCAATTGGGGCTGAGTGACTTGCCCAAGGTCACACAGCTAGTATCAAGTATTTGGTCTGAGGCCGGATTTGAACTCAGGTCCTCCTGACTTCAGGGCCGGTACTCTACCCACTGAGCCACCCAGCTACTCCTCCTTCGCATGTTCTAGAGGGAGAGAGAGCAGCTTCATCCAAATCCATTGGATGTCCAGCTGGAAGAGCCTCAGAGGCTGTCTAGTCTAACCCTCTCATTTTACAGAAGAGTAAATTGAGGCTCAGGGAGGTGAAGGTGACTTGTCTAAGACCGCAAGAAATATGTGAATGTGAAAGACATAGGATTTGAACCCAAATAATCGGTAGCATGCATACCCCTGCCTTGGGGTGGGCAAGGTCTTGCTATCTCAGGCAAAATACATGCATCTATTAAGCACCTACTATGTGCGAAGCAAAGAGGGTATAAAGACAGAAATGATCTCATACCTATCCCCATAATCCCTAATAATATTTGCTTTTGCATGTTTCAAGTTCTTCACCAGCATAGTACCAAGTTAGCGATAGCAATTAGTTAGACTGGAAATGACTGGTGAAGCTTCTTCTAATCCAGGCGTGGGGAACCGGCAGCCTCGAGGCCACACGTAGCCCTCTAGGTCCTCAAGTTCAGTCCTTTGACTGAATCCAAAGGTCACAAAACAAATCCCCTTAACAGAACAAATGCTTTTATTAAGTAAGGAGATTTGTTTTGTGACCTTTGGATTCAGTCAAAGGACTGAACTTGAGGACCTAGAGGGCCACGTGTGGCCTCGAGGCTGCCGGTTCCCCACGCCTGAAGTCTAATCCTTGCCTACTCCATCCCGGTGGGGCAACCTGCTCAGCCATTGTCCCAGGGTCTGCTTCTCCCCGTGAGCTAGTATCTTGTCTAGATGCCCTCAATCACAGGAATGTTTGCCCTGGACACAGTTTGGGGACTTACTCTGAGTACAAACAAATCCCTGGTTCCAACTGCCCAGAATTGAGCTGAGCCCCAGGAACACCCCAGCAGTGAGCTTTTGAGGTTCGATCTGGGTGGATTGGTGGGTGGATGAAAGAATTTCTCATTATTCACGAAGGGTGTTAGGGGCTTTAATTCCCTGGCACATCCCTCCCACTTCTCCAGGGGAATCACTTGCAGGATCATAGAACCGAAGAATGGCCCAGCTGGAGAGGAGCTTAGAAATCGTCTGTTGTCCAAATCCTTCATTTTACAGAGGTGAGAAAGAGTCCTAGAGAGAGGAAGAGACTTTGCCAAGAACTCACAGGCAGTGGAAGACCTGAGGCTAGAACTCAGATCTCCTGGGCTTCTCAGTAACATGTTCTTTCACTCTACATACCACATCAAGGGACAGGGACAAACTCTTCGGCCTCTGGGGGGGGGGGGGGGGGGGGGCCTGGCTCCCCAAACCCTGAGAAATAGAGAGCTAGAGCTGGAAGGAACCTAGCTCCCGCCTCATTTTACAGATGAGCAAACTGAGGCCCAGAAAGGGACAAAATAACTTGCCAAGATCACACAGGTGCTAAGTGGCAAATTCAAATTCAGATCTTGAGACCTGAAGTATCGCTGAATCCCTCCAGCCTCCTCATCTCTGTGTGGCTCTGGCTCAGTCTGTCTCACTCCCTCCTCCTTTTGTTTTCCTTTTTCTTCCCCACCTTCCTCTCTTTTTCTCTTCCCCTCTCCCTCCTCCTTTCTATGTCTCCCCCTCTTTCTCGTCTTCCTCTCTTTCCTCCCTCTATCTTC